AATACCTCTCATTAATACCATGAATTCGCCCTGGAACAAGGAGGGAGCCCTGGGGTCCAGCAGCAACTGCCATTGACAGGCAAGGAATAAGCTGGAGCTCCAGCAAGGGACAGCAAATATTGGGAGCTTAAAAATCACATCACCCCTATACTCTGGCCTTCATGGCATTTGAAAGCTTGGGCAGATGTGGGGAGGACCTGATAGGAATCAGTTCCCCAGAGTGGGAACCACCAGAATTTCTCTTCAGGTGATGTATAGAAAAGGAAACTGAAGCTTTTGGTCTTTGTAACAGAACCTAAGGGAAATCCGAATCTCTACAGGTAATAGAATCTGTTGCTCTAATTAGAAGCACTAATTAGACTCAGCTCAGCACTTAGCTGAGTTTTGTGTTTTTGGTAGTTACAAGCATTCCAACGAAACTCTCCAGCCACTAGACTCATGGAAGGAAATGTTCTAGGTTCTGCAGTTTTCTTTCTGTTGTTGTTCCTGTTTAATGTTGACTCTCTTCAAATTGATTAGTCAAGAAGCAAACAACATTACTTATTAAACACCTTTGTGAAACAGCATGATAGAATTCTGCTAGATGACTCATGGCTCTTGTTTGATTTCATCTTGTATATATTTTTAAAAGAATGAAACGTGCCATGTCCTGATACTATCTCTGTTTGATTTGGTGCAGGCTGCCTTGGGTCCTGTACTAAACAAGTGAAAAAGGAAAGGTCTTTATTGGTTTTGTGAAGAATAAACACCAAGCAACTCCTTAGTCTTTACCAAAACAAGGCCAAAAAGAGCTGATTCATCTTCTTATCTGCCTAAAAACTGAATAGTACATATAAAATGGTCAAGAAGAGCTAGGAACCAGAGGGATAAAATATTACCCTTGTCCTATATCCTTTCTTCCCAATCCAGTCGTAGTAGCTTTATTTGACTTGCACATATAAGGTTTGAAGAAAGAGAGATATGTGAAGGAAAAAAGACTAAAGGGAAAACACTACTTCCAAAGGAGTTTATATGGGGGTCATAGTGTTCTTAATGCCAGAAATAATATGTTCTGTACTGTGTGTGCAGCAAAGGGAGTCTTTCCAGGCTGGATCCAGTATATCAGGTTCTTTATGGATATGGTAAATAGAAAAGCACTCAGTTCTATTTTGAGGGTAGATTAAGTGAGAGCAATGATACTTAGCTCATTTCTGCAACTGGCACATGGAACTGGCAAATTCTGCATGGGAATAAGAGAGATGAACTTTGTGTATAAAGCGGACAATCACAGACAGTATAGTCTCCTTGAAAGTAGCTTCCTGTTAAAGTCCAGAAATTTAACTCTTATTTCTGTGTCTACAGATCATTCCTATGAGGGTTTGGTTAGGATTGAGGTCAGTATCAGGCCTATCGTACCAATAGGTATTCTACATATGTATTTGTTGAGCCAGTGAAGGAATAAAATCACTTACCTCCTTTCTACTGCTGTAGCTCTATTAAGTGTGATACATAGAACAATTTATAGTAAATATTTTCCTTACACATTTGAGAAAAAGCTCTGGAAGATAATTTGACTATTTTGATTCTCATTATGGGCTATCTTTGTCCTTGATATATCGTTCCCTACTTCTAGTGAATGCTTAGTCTTTCCATTTATTTCCCATTTATTAGGAAGTAATACTTTTATTGTAACATTCAGGAGGGGGTGGAGTGATACCACACAAGCATTCAATGACCTTGTGGTTTTAGCATCTAATTCCAATAAAGATGGGACCAATGCCTGAGGATTTGAGAGTGGCAGATGTTCAGTGGGGCCACAGAGGAAAAGCCGTGTGGGATGAATGACAGGCACCAGGTGGCCATGCACTTCTCAGTGACTTTTTAAAGATGGGCTCAATCAATCAAGATTTAGAATAACAGCCAGTATTTTCCAAGTACCTACTACATGTTTGCCATGAAACCCACTTACTTTTCTATATTTTTCTTCCTAATTCTCAAAACAACAAACATGACATATATTAAGGTTATAGTGGCTTTATATTAGAAAATGGGGTTAAATGTGAAAGCAAGAAAAAGCACTTTGGAATTTTCTATTCTTTCTCCATTCACACTGAAAACTTGAGAATTATCTTAAGGGAAGAAAGGGGAGAAGGCTGTCACATTTACATACAGACTTGCCTTTTATTTCCTCCTTTAGTGTAGCTCAGGGGTTCTCAATTCTAAATGTGAATCCGAGTTACTATATGCACTAATTCACATATGTTAAACTTTAAGGGTGATTTAAGGGAGTTCAAGATGATTTTGACTATGCCAGATATTTGCTTCAGGCATTGACTTTAAAACTAACCCTCAGCCGGGCGCGGTGGCTCACGCCTGTAATCCCAGCACTTTGGGAGGCCAACACAGGCAGATCACAAGGTCAGGAGTTCAAGACCAGTCTGGCCAACATGATGAAACCTATCTCTACTAAAAATACAAAAATTAGCTGGGTGTGGTGGTATGTGCCTATAATCCTAGCTACTCAGGAGGCTGAGGCAGGAGAATCACTTGAACCCAGGAGGCAGAGGTTGCAGTGAGCTGAGATCGTACCACTGCACGCCAGCCTGGTGACAGAGCAAGACTCTGTCTCAGAAAACAAAACAAAACAAAAAACCTAACCCTCAATTAACAACAAACTCCGCTTTATTCAAAATAAGCAATACAAATTTTAAAATGTATTTAAAATTTTCAGAAACAGTGGTTATTGGCAAATGATGTTTCAATGGGTTATGGAAGTATAGAGAAAGTCATTAAATCATCTTCTTTCCCTCCCTCCCTCCTTTCTTTCCTTCCTTCTTTCTTCCTTCCTTCCTTCCTTCCTTCTTTCCTTCTTCTTCCTTCCTTCCTTCCTTCCTTCCTTCCTTCCCTTCCCCTTCCTTCCTTCCCTCTGTCTTCCTGTCCTCCTCCTTCTTCCTTCCTATCCTTCCTCCTTTCTCCTTTCCCTCCTTCCTTCCTTCCCTCGCTTCTCCTTCCTTCCTTCCTTCGCTTCCTCCCTCTCCTTCTTCCCCGTTTCCTTCCTTCCCTCGTTCTCCTTCCTCCATTCCTTCCTTCTTTCTTCCTTCGCCTTGCTTGACGACTTTCCACTCTTTGTTGCCCAGCTGGAGTCATGGTATGATCTCGCTCACTCGCAACTCCACCTCCGGGTTCTAATGATTCTCCTGCCTCAGTCCTCCCGAGTTGCGTGGGATACAGGGCATGTGGCCACCAGCCTGGCATAAGTTTTTTTTTTTTTTTTTTTTAGCAGAGATGAGGGCTTCACCATCGTCGGTCAGGCTGGTCTTGAACTCCTGACCTGCAATGATCCACCTGCCTTGGCCTCCCAAAGTGCTGGGATTACAGGCATGAGCCACCATGCCTGGCCAATCAACTTCTTTTCTAACATCAACATTTTGTTGCACTCGGCTCCATTGCCAACCTCAGGAAAGCAAAAGAATCAGATAAAGAAGAGTTCTTCAGGTTCAAAGTTTCTTTAATTAAATTCTCTCTTTTACAGTCCTATAGTGTAAGAGAACGCTCTCAACCTTTCTCTGTATCTTTTCTAACCTATAAGAAGGAAAAGCAGAGACATACTTACAAAAAGTAAGTTTTAAAATCCCTCCTTTTCTACCCAAAATTACAACTTTATCTGAAATAGCCCTTCCTTCTTAAGCCTTCCAAGGTAATCTTTTGCCACATGGCACCACAGCCCGGGGTTTGAGAGCAGTGGTCTCAGAGTCAGGAAATGGGGTATAAATCCCAAATTCACTCCTTGGTAGAAGTGTCACTTTCTGCAATTTGCTTAACCTCTCTGAGACTCCATTTTCCCAGTCATATATTGGGGATAATTTCTTACTTCCTCTTAGGACGGTTAAGGAGAGTCTGGAACTAAGCAGGCGTTCAATATTCATTGACTGAATAAGAATTGTGCAACACACAGTATTGAAGCAAGCACGTAGTCTGTTCTTATTAAAATATAGTTATATAACTATATATTTATATAACTATAATATAACTATATTAAAATATAGTTATAACTTCCTCTTTGCTGCTAAATAAGTGAGAATGATTTTGTTTTAAACATTCTAAATAAACAGAATTGCAGCATGGGAGACATGAGGACATTGGTGGGAAAATAGAATATCAGTGCATAAATAGTAAGACACTGTTTGAGTGATTTCATTCATAAATTCAAATTTTGTCCAGTTCCAATTCTACCACTAGATCTCACCCCCTGAGATGGCAGCAGGTGCAGGGGCATGAATGCATTTGTGTACCTCCATGACCATAGCCTCTACAGTTGGTTTCGCCCGTGTTGCCCCAGCATCAGCTCAACCTTGCTTGCCTGGTCTCCTTTAGGTCTTAGTAGTACTGGACTCATGAGCCCACCTATTCTCATTTCTTCTGGTCTGGGATCCTTACCTAGGGTCTTCTGTGGGGTCTTCCTGCTCTACTGGTCAGCTCCTGGCAAGCTCACTGGCTTCCAACTCAGCAACCCAGGGAGGCTACACTTCAAGGCCCCTGCCTGACTATTAGGACTATTTTCCAGATTGGTATGGAACATTCCCTAAGGTGGCTTCTTCCAGTAGTGCTAAAGGGCAATGTGGCAAGATCTCCCATGCCATTCAGATTTTCTTCAATGTACCATTTGTTCTCTAGGTCAAAATTATTCCTAGAGACATTAGGTGAGATATCAGGAGACCTACAAAGACGACTGCACTCTGCTTTCTCTCTTTCTCCTCATATTCCCACGATCTTCTTTCATTGCCTTTGTATCATACACTCCTCCATGTTAATACCAGCTAAGCCTTAATGGCCCAGTGGCTAACTCCTCTCTACTTTATGTTAATTCTATAAGCTTAATCCTGCATGCTGGGTTGTTGATCTGCTAATAAAGGAGGAAAATAAAGGAATTTAAAAATCTTCTCTTAAGACAATATCTTGGTTTGCAAGGCTATGTTTTTTCTGCATAATCCTATTTATGCATGTCAGAAGCTAAATAGTACCTTGGTCTTACTCTTTGCACAGCACCAAAACAGAATTCTAAACTCTTCTGAAGACAGATGGATGCATTGGATGGAGTAGGCTGAAGGTCTTATATCTGCAAAAGCAAGAGAAAAAAAGGACATTCATAAGTTCTTGGATATTTTCCTACAGTGTTTCAAGAGCAAAGTGGAATTTACTGGGAAATTTCCTCTAAAGAATATTAGAGAAACATTCTTGCCATTAAAACCTGCATGATATATTTAAATAACTCATCTGTTATTTGTGTACAGTATAAAATGCACAAAATAAACCAGACTGACTCTCCAAATTCTATACAGTTATAACTCTCTGTGTTGTATAGATACATTCTCAATGTAAACTATTTTGGTGATTTTATGATATTGACATTTATTTATGCTGAACTAAGCTATGATCAGTTTCCCTAAATGGAACCCTAAAAAACTATACAGCTGTTTTCCAACAATCTTCCAAGATTAAGATAGTTGTTTTTTGTTATAATGAAACTAATAAATTGTTTGGCCTGGTTTAATTGCTAGTGTTTCGTATACACGTTGATGTAGATTTTAAACAAGAAAAGCAGAAAATGAAAGTATGTTTTCTTTGGCAGGCATTTGATGTACTTGGAAGAGTTGAAGCTTACCTAAAGCTCCTTAAATCAGAGGATTTAAGTCTGGCTGTTTTGGCAGCGAGGCATGAGGAATTACACAGAAAAATTAAAGACTGCACAGCTGATGCTTTGCAAAAGGGACAAACCTTAATCAGCCAAGTAGACTCCTGCAGGTGAGTAAAGTTGATTTCTTTCTCAGTGTAACAAGCTTTTTCACAGTTTCCACAACCTGCTAAAAAATAAGATGCATGATTGTCTTTTTCTGGTTCTGATGTTTTGCTGCATTATGATGTGGCTTAAAAGGATCTATTGAAGTTTGATCAACAGCTATTCTGAACACCGCCATTGCTCATCCAGAAGTGAGGCCATATTCTAAGCCTGGAGACTTACATATGCTAAAGCTTTCTGTTTACTCATTTCTGAGGAGGGGAAAGAGAATGGACAAAATAAGAAATGGAGCTTTAGTTCCCAACGCTTTTCAAACCCTAGCATCTTTATGGAATAGCTCCCTCCCTTTGGTTCATGAGTCATGAGTCTATCTTGTCCTGTTTTTTTCTTACTGGAAGAAAATAAAATACCAGAATTTCCTTCCAGTTAGACCTTGGTGGCTCACCATGCAAAACCCTAAGTAAACAGTGACAATTATTAATCCAACGGCATGGGTACCAGACTGCATGCTTTTGAACAGTGCTCTAGGTGGGCCTGTTTTATGAGCACATTTGGTGAATGCATCAGTGTTGAGCTTAGTGGGTATGAATAGAGAGAAAGACCTTGAGAAAGAGAGAGAGAATGCAGTAGGAAAGTATGGGAAAGACCAGGGATTGGAAGACAAAGAGGAAATGACGGAGCAGATAGTGGAATGCGTATTGACCAGAAAGAAATGAAAGCAGGGCTTACATTTTTGACAGAGACAAAAAAAAATATTATAAATGGGTTAAACTCACTTTTTCACCTTCCATGTCTGCAATCTCCTTGAAACTCAAAGACATTCAGTTTGAAGAACCATGAAATAGGTGAAATGTGATAAAAATCATTTTATTTCGGTTTAAATCCTTGTTCTGTTCTACTTTAGATGTGTTTAAAGGTGTTGATTTGGTAACTTTGGGTTTGGGGAACATTCTTTCCAGAAGACAGTCTGAATCTGAACAGAGGTATTTAACCCAGCGTTTGTGATATTTGCTATAGGACCATGCACGTCTAAGATTAGAAATAATCCAAGGTCTTCCAATAAAAGCCAAAAAGTTGAGGCTGTGAAGACAAGGGATTCTCCCCTTTGAAAAATGAATAGCTGTGTTTTTTACTAAGTTTCTTTACTTTAGCTCCAAGCCATGCAGTAGGTAATAGGGGTGTCCACTAGGCTTCAGGAGTTTCAAGGTGTTCCCTCCCATCCAGGCACAAAATATGGATACTGGAACTCCTCCTTCTGCTCTTTTCCAGCTTTTCCAGAATGTATAAATGTCTTGAGCAATACAGAAAACGTCCTATGGGGTGGAAGAGACATTTATTGTGCCTAGACTCGGGGTACATGTTGGACATTGATTTGAGTCATATGATGACTGAATTAAGCGGTGAGGTTTCCAGTTATAATTTTAAAATGGTCCAATCTCAGTTTAACAAATGGGTCTCAATGCACGGACAGATGTTATTTCTCTGGTCAGGCTACTCTTTGCTTGTGACACGTTCCCTGGCTGTGGAAAGGTTCCTCTCACGCATGGGGAGATCACCATGTAGCTAAAGACCTCTGCCCAAATCTCTGGAGTTCTGTTTGTGGGTTACTCCTTCCTGTCTGGTACCCTGCCCACAAATTTGAGATGCCTTGACTCAAAGCCTGATTCCTGTCTTCTCAACTCAGCAAGAACTCTGGGCTCTGCTTAGGTTCCACCTCTCTGAGCTTTGATCTAAAAATTACCTTCCAGGCAGTAAACTAGTGCAATTATAAGGCTCATCTCATGTATTTTCCTTCTCCAACTGATCACTGCCCTGTGCTACTAATTGTTCAGTGTCTGAAAACCATTGTTCCTGTACTTGTTTTTCTAGTTGGTTAAGATATGAGGGTAAATCCAGTCCCTGCCTCTTGACCAGAAACTGAAGTTCCCGATTCAGTTTTGATGCTTGACTCCTGAAGTTAGAAAAGTAGTCACAACTTTTTACTGCTGAATTTTATCCTGTTTGCTCTAATCAGTAATTCTTTGTTTTCAAAACTTACATATAAGAGGAAAGCTGCTTTTATTTTATATACATTCTATGTTTGAGGTTTTACTGACTATTTTTAGCCATCATTTTGTAATGGCTGATATGTTTATTTGCTTCTTTATGTGCCGAGAGTGGTGCTGTCTCATTCAACTACAAAAAACAAACAAACAAACAAAAAACCTATGAAATAGACATCTTCATTTCATAAACAGGAAACTGAGATTGAGAGAAGTTCAGTTGAAATGTCATGGCATTGTTTTTGACACTCCACATGTATGAAATTAAACTCCCTTGACATTAGTCTTAGTTTCCTTATCCATACCAGTTTTCCTTTTACCTCTTTTGCTCTTTTTGGTCTTAATTTTAACATAATTATCATTTTTCAAAGAGACAGCTACAATCCTGTTTTTCGTGATGCAGACTGGTTTCAATAGAAGAAGAAATAATTAGGTACCATTTCAAACAGCTTGAATTAATGCTTAGGTAAGTGAGTTTAAGAAAATCTTTAGCAATATGGTTTCTGTCAACATTGTAGTTCCAAAGCATTTGGTTTCCTCGAGATTTTATAATATTTTATAAATCAATACTATCTTCATTTCGCAGGAGGAGCTGAAGATAAAATAAAATTGTTTCTTGGCAAAGGACATTTTTGGATTCAGAATAAAAACCCATTAAAAATTGAACTGAAATGCATTAGACTGTCAGTTGCAAACTAGAGCCATACATTGCTATTGACCTCAATCCCATGTATTCTGTTTGGGATTTGCTCCCTTTCCTCATCTAATAATTTATGTGCTTAATGAACTGAGTCACCATCACAGGAAAGAAATAGAATGTAAGGATAATATTTCAAGTTGCATTCACTGCTGGAGTGAAGATGGAGTTTAGAATGCTGGCAATGGAAATCAATGTAAATTTCAACAGAGCAAAGCAGATATTGCTGAACATCACAGTAGCTTCTGAGACTTCTGAGTGCCAGCCACACTCATGGGACACAATATATTAAGGTTCCTATTACCAGACACCAAAAAACTGGTATGGATAAGAAACCCAAGACTTCGTGTTAAAGGAATTTTAATTCATACATTCTGAGTGCCAAAACAATGCCATGACATTTAAACTTAATTTCTCTGAGTCTCAGTTTTCCCTTTGTAAAATGAAGATATACATTTTATAGAGTTTTTTAAAAATTGAATGAGACAGCACCACCAGTTGAGCACAAACTCACTTGTTTGTTGAACCCTGTCTATGTGCACCACCATCAGCACATAGAGAGGGCTTAATAAACAAGTACAGTGATACATCGCTTAACAGTGAGGAGGCATTTGGAGAAATGAGTCTTACGTGATTTTGCTGTTGTGTGAACATCATAGAGTGCACTTACACACATCTTACACACACACCTACACATACTTAGACATGGTATAGCCTACTACATAGCTAAGCTAGCCCGCTGTTCCCAGGCTGCAGACTTGTGCAGCATGTTACTGTATTGAATATTATAGGCAAATGAAACACAATGGTATTTGTGTATCTAAACATAGAAAAAGTACAGTAAAAGCACAGCATTATAATCCTGTGGGACCACCATTGTTGACTGCAATGTTATATGGTGTATAACTATACTTTTTTACTTTCTATATAAAGAGCTTAAAAAAATACTGAGGGTAATATGGTTGTTTCAAATGATTACAGCACAGTCAGTTGTATCAAACTGTGTTCATTTTCACTAACTGGAAAGGTAATATTTGAAATAGGGAAGATAAACACTTACCTTAATGTAATAAAAGGCTTAATTTAGTATTGGGGCAGGTAGGAATTTCAGAGGCCCTTTGATCTGATTTTTTTTTCTGTTAGTCAAAAACTAGGACCTCAGAAGTTTACGTTTATCTGAAATGAAGCTTCCTTAGTAAATCTGAGACATTTTCATTACTGTTCGGTAATTACTACTTTATTAGGAATAGGCCTACACTATTTTACTATCATGCAATCAAATACATTTGAAGTTTGAGCAGCTTCACAAAGCAAATTGTGGTTATTTATGTGTTTTCTTGCCTTTTCTATTTCCTGCATTTAATCTGATGATAATTCTGAGTCATTATTAAATAGTTGTTGTCTTTTTGGAGTACAATATCTGTCACATAACCACTTTAATTTTAAAGGCATTTTAGTGCATTCTTTATGATGCCTAAAAGTGTATGCAATAACAGTTGTCTCAGTCCATTTTCTGTTGCTGTAGAAGAATATCTGAGACTAGTAGTATGTAAAGGAAAGAAGTTTATCTAGCTCATGATTCTGGAGGCTGGAGGGCCAAGATTGGGTGGCCACATCTGGTCAGCTTCTGGTAAGAACCTCATGCTGCCTCATGACATGATGGAAAACTGGAAGGAAACCAGTTATGTATGAAAAAATGGCAAAACACAAGAGGCAGCCTCGCTTTATAACAACCTGCTCTAGTGGGAACTAATCTATTCCTGAGAGAACTAACCCAGACTTATGAAAAATGCATTAATCCATCTTAATGACCATGTTATTTACCTCTTGAAGACACCACCTCCCAACACCACCTCATTGAGAACCAAGCCTCCACATGAGTTTTGGTGGGGACGAACCATACTTAAATCATAGAAATGGCCAAACGTAGACTTATAGTGAGGTTAAAAGCCCCTGGCTTCCAGCCTTCTTCATCTCCCTAAGCATCATCCTTGAGAACCAAGTCTAAAGAAAAACCAAAGATGGCCTGCTACCAAGCAGAATTTTGCATTTATTAAGACACAGGAATCTGTGGTGATTGGAAGTGCTGGGTCCAGGACCTTGTGTGAGGGTAAGATTTTCTATAATGGGACAAAAATGAGGGACCTCCTTTTTTTCTCTCAGTTCAGTTACCAATTCAGAGCTGAAAAGCATACAAAAGCCCAGCAAGACCAGGCTACCTTGTGAAGTATTCATTTGCCTTTCCCGTTTGCTAAAATGAAATTATATAATTTACAAATAAACTTGCTTCAGAGTTAACTCAATTTCTACACCTGCCTAAAGGAC